CAGAATGTGCGCGGCTGGTGGGAGTTGATTCTGGTGAAGGATAGCAGCGGTGGCTATGCCTCCGTCAGGAGTTCGCTCCTCCGTGGTGGCGAACGGGAAGTGGGGGAGACGCGGAGGTAAACGCCGGGCATCGTCGCCGATAAACTGGCTCAAACTGGCGCGAGCCGGTGTCCCCGTCTCCGCCGACGACTGCCTCTCGATGGAGGGGAAGTTGGAGAACCGGCGAGGAGAGAGAGAGGAAGAGAGAGAGCAGCCGAGAGACACTGCGAGAGGGAAAGACACGGTGCACGCGAATAAATCCGGAACGCCGTGTATTGTGCGTGGCCGCGTGTCGATTTCTGCTGAATCTCCATTCAGGCCCCGCTCAGGTCGCAGCGAAACTAGATATCGTGTGATCGTATTATTCAACATTTGGGATCGCCGCCGTCAAATCCGCCGAGCACACACTTGTTCGACAAATAAAACGGCGACGTTATCGGCAATTGCCCGCGACATTGATCAATCGCACACCCTCCTCCCTGGCAGCGCCGAAAAAGTGTACGCTCCTCTTCTCCTGCCTGGATTGGGAATCGACGTCCCACCGAGCTCGCACGCTCAACCTTGAATTACTCGGGAAGAAAGCGGCTGAGCTTGCAGTCGCTCAGTTGCGTGGTGCGCGCGAGAACCGGTACCAGGCCGAGCCGGCGGTTCCTCAACTTGTTGTCGCTCGAAGCGGTTCGGAGTAGTGCGAGGCGTCTGCATCATATTCCGCCGGAGAGAACTAATCATCTCTAGGCTAGGGAATAATTAATTGGAGGTGAAGTGGAAACCGGTAGAGTTCTGGGGCCTGTTCCCGTGGCTCGCGTTTCGATTATTCACTTGACATATTTGTATAAAGTAAGGCTCGACAATTCAACATTTGAACGAGTCACCTGGTTTGTGCGGCGCACGACCGGGCGAGAGGAGAGGAGAGCGAGCCAAAGTTATCGCCCGAGATAACCGAATTAATCTTAGTCCGGTATATTCCGGTGGGCGACGAGGTTCCGGCGGCGGCGGCTGAGTTGAATCGAGACAAGAAGCGGATCGATCGGGATTGCCAGCCGTAAATAACGCGCTCGGCAAAGGAGTGTTCAGCTCGATTGAGTCACGGACCAGTTTGCTCTCGCGCCGTTGATGTATCCGAATTGCATCGTGATCGAGGGCGATCTGGTATTGCGCTGCCTTTTGAACAAGTAGAGTCGCACTTGCCCGGCTCCCCGTCCGCGGTTTCCCCCGCGAGGAACTGAACGAACTAACGTAATCAATCAGCCGTTAGTCATGCAATAAAATCGCTGACGAGATCACTTGTGACAGATAGCTTATGACAGCTCGCGGCCGCGTTTAATAACAACCACGTGTGATGCATCGAGCGAACTTCTTCGAGCGATAGCGATCTCCTTCAAGTGCAGTTAAACAGTGAGATCTGTTGTATCGTGAGCGAGCCCAGTTCAGGAATGCCCTCGTCCGTCGTAGCAGAGAATCGACTTCCGACAGAGCGCACGCGAGTCTCACGCGCACTTTCAATTGCGTCGACCGATAATCTGAGCTTCGTGGTGACACGCGATATCCTGGCAATTTACGTGCTCCTGTCGCGGCAAGATCGTCTCCCGACTCTCCTCAGATGACGAGCAGCCCTGCCGCCGAAAAGCTGACGCCAGGGCGGTTAAATTGAGTCTTGCAACCAGGGCGCATCCCGTTTCTTCCCCGACTAGTGGGAATTCGTCGAGGACAACAGGTAGCAATGAAGTTACTATTTTGAGAGAACATCGAGGGAGCGTGAACACAGGAGAGGCTCGAATAAAACGGCGACTTCTCTGGATCGAAAGATAATATCGACTTCGAGGAAGCTTAATTAGATTCGCGACATTCCCGTAGCTTAGAGAGAGGAAAACGAGAGGAATATTACAGCCGCTTGTACAGATTGCGTATCAGGAAACGTCAATGAGATTAATTGCGCAAATCGAGGAACATTAATTGTTTCTGGTGCTGAATTCATCTTGCAATTGAAATATCTGTCTCTCCGGGTTTCAAGGGGGAAAACGACTTGGTAACTTCGGAGCGCGCGGAGCGAATCTCCCGAAAGAAGAAATAGAGCGGCTACACTTGGCACGGTCCGAGTATTTCATGCGGCGATAGAAAACTGCGCGCACTCGTGCACATGTGGCACTGTAATTAGGCCCGATGCAAAGTGGCGGCACGTCAAGAAGATAAACATCATAGGCTCGGTGACTCTCGCCGGTTACAAAGTTCATTCCTTTTATAGAGGTGCATCGGACAAGTGGAAGGCAAACAACGGAGCGCGAACGGCCTATAGGCGGCGAAGGAGCGCAAAACCGGTTACGCTCGACGAAAAAAGATCTTCGGATTTTCCAGGAAACTCATCGTAGGATTCTACTCTTCGGCTCGCGAGATTCCACTCTTCGGCTCGCGGGACTCCGGATCGCGCGAGTGATTATCGCGCGACGGCGTGTTTGCTCGTCGCACGTGACGTGTGTGGAACTTGGTGCGTGAAGAAAGAGGAAAAAGAAGAAGAAGAAGACGAAGAAGATACGACGCGCCAATCACGCGACTCAGTGAGAGATTTCAACTCGAGGGAGCCACGCGCGAAGGTCAGAATTTCGAGAGAGTTCGTCGGCGGACGAGTGCCGGCGGGCGACTAGCAGTATCCGGTTCGCGGCAGACAAATGCAATCCAACTGACTTGAACTGATCCTATCTGCCGAGCCGAGTCGAGCCAAGAGCTCTATTACTCGAATTCGCCGAGCGAATTCAGTTGCTGGCTGGAGAACATTGCGCGCCGCATCATCGATATATCGAACGACTCGCGTTGTATCTCGAACATACTCCCGAACAGCAGCGCGATGTGGATGATCGGTTAGCGATTAATCATCACTCGATCGAGCTGATAAGACAGAACGGAGATTCGAGAACGTTATATCTCGCTAACATCGACCACGAATGGATGGGAAGACGCTTGGAGAACGGTCGGACGTTCGTGCGTGCGGATGTACCACGTTTATGAATGAGCGTGTGAAGAGTCGGAAGAAGGCATTCAAGGAGAAAAACGATTTACCGTAGAGGATTCCCTTCGGTCCAGCCGCCGTAGCGGGAGCGTACTCGTCATGTCAAGGGATTACTGGGACCTGAGGAGCTGCTGGTCCATCAAGCGGCCGCGTTATCCGCTCGATCAGTTCGTCACGTGGCTTCTGGAGCACGAGGTGATCGTGAGCGGTGGTCCACCGCACGTGCAGGTCGTGGCTAAGTTCGTCCATGCCCTGTCGAACACGCGGATAAAGAGAGGGTACTTTATGCGAGGTGGACTGGTCAGCCTCCGGATAAGGAAGTGTTGGAACGCGAAGAGGCCCGACGGCTTCAGAAAAGTCAAGCTCATGATTTGTTTAAAGGGGCACTCGGCGTAAGGATATATTGACGCTTTTCTTTATATTGTTGTATAGCTTTTTCCAAAAACTTTTAAGAGCGAAGCTCCTAACAATAAGTCGAAATGAATATTGACTTTTTCAATGTTGTGAAACATCGATTGAATCTCACTTTGAATTGACCAAGGAAGATAACGTTTAAGCTACTTTATATCAAGCTCGACAATACTAAAATTGACGTTTTCCACGGCTCTTGAATTTTAACGAGTAGGAAACTTACCATTTCGCACAGATGTATAGTTCATTGTATTATGATCTAAAATTATCTAAAGTTATGTACTCGTTTTATATAATAATAATTGTGACATTCGGTGCAACGTATTTGAAGAGTTTAAGACAAAAAGTCAATCATAAAGTTCATTATTTTTTTATTTTTACGCGACAGTTACGTCATTCGGTCTTATTGGAGTTCAAACAAATAAATTAGCACATTTTGATCATATGTGCATGTATTACTTTCACATTTTACCTTCTGAATTTCGATTTCCATTTATTATCATAAGCGAAGTTATTCGATGCCGAGTTTTATCAGAAAACCGTGCATCTCGAATATTCCTGTACATCGCTTCTTCATGAAATTGTTCAGCTGAGCGTATAAGTGTCAGCGGTCGAAGATTTATGTTGCATGCACAATTAATAAGACTGATAATCATCGAGTCGCCAACGTTTTGCGACATGGCACAAAGTAAACGAATACTCGTCGCGCGCCCAGAATCCAAAGTACGTTTTTATATCGGTGTACGTCGGATAAATTTCTGTACGACAAGAATCATCCGAGAAACATCGCGAAACGAAAACAATTATAATCGCGTCATTGTCACACGGGAAACAATGATGTTGTCTCAACAAGATCAGTGCAATTGAAAGAAAATCTTGGAAACAACTCAAAATAATGAACGAAAAACATTAGGTAGTTGTCTTGATAATTTGGATATTTAGTTCAATACTTAAAATTAAAATCCATAGCCAATACAATTGAGTGAACTATTTATGTTTGTGGCAGCCCGTGACGTCAACGTTGAAGTCAAGCAACTTCATTTTCTTTAATTCAACAGCATTGTTTTTCGTGCAGTAATGTTGTTATAAATAATAGCCGCAACAATACGTGTGAAATGCGACATTTTAATAATTGTACTTTCAGATTTTCAAGAGAAATTGTAACACACGCGACTAACGCGATATTTCCAGATCACCACAGACGCGCGCAAGCATCGGCGGCAATTCGTCTCCGGTAGTCGCCCCATTAGCACTTTCGGTTTCTAATTCCGCTATCGTGCCACTGGTTCCTGCCTCGGACGCCGTGAAGGAAAACGTGGGAACTGCGCCGGCTCTGCCATCGCCCGCAGCCATACTGCCGGATCAACCTTCCATCGAAGTTGATGTTAGTTTGACTTCGCACAAAGCTACTTTTCCGCAGCAACTAATCGAGTTTATGAAAACAGTAAAGATCTTCGTTGCAGATAATTAAATAATTTTTCCTAAATTTTTGTACTCGTTTCGGGGTAAAGACTTGGTAGAGAAGAAAACGTTTCACATTACATTACTGTGCTAAAGTACTAAAAGTAGTGACACGCAATTCGTTTTATATTGTGATGTTTTTGAAAAAAAAGCGTCTTTCTTAAAAATTGCCTATAAAATTAACAGTTATAAAGGAGCGCTTGTATAGAATTTGAAGCTATTCAGTCCATGTCGCTTACTTATAATAAACTTCAAATCTCGTAGGGCGCCTCATGTCTTACCGAATTACCACCTGACGCAAATGCCACGCAGACAACCGCGTGGCTTCGCGCCAGCCGATTCAACGCGTTCGAGTCAACATTCGCGAGTTTCTCTGCATCGGATATTTTACGCTTGTCCCGGGAGGATCTCATCCAAATCTGCGGCGTGGCGGATGGCATTCGACTGTTCAACACGCTCCATTCCAAAGCGCCGACCCCGAAGCTCACCCTCTATTTTTCGTTGGAAGGCAACGGCTCGCTCTGGAGAGTCGCCTACCTCGACAGCTTGACCGGCACCGCGCTTACAAATAAGTTGCTCAACGCTCTAAACTTGCCCCACGACCGACTGCACTCGATACTGTTCCTAGGGCCTCAGGGTATACACGTGTTGATCACCGACGAGCTGGTAGCGAACATGAAAGACGAGAGTATGTATCTCGTCGAGACTATCAAAGGTAAATTTACACTTAGCTACAGTCTTACTTACAATTTTGAAAAGAGATCGAAAAGAGACCGATAACGCCAATATATGTTTCTTTCAGATCCGGCTAGCGAGCGTTACAAATTGTTGATAAAGTCAAAAATCATGTGAACGATTTCTGTAGATTCTCCTTTTTATAAATATTTTTTATAAATATATATATATATTTTATATACATATATAATAGAAAAAGAGAAAAAGGAGAGGGGCAAAAGCAGGTAAAATATATTTTGTAAATGTATACAAGAACTATTTGTCGTATAACATTATGTAAAAAGGTTTTGGAAATTATTAACGATTTTCTAACGAGCCAATTAATAATTTTTTTGATAATAATATTTCTGTTAAATATAACTGAATACATAAGTGAACTCTATATAGTAAGTATAATGCTATAATAATAATGACATTTCGAAATGAAAAAATTATTTTTGCGCGTTGTGTTGAGGTGTATATAAATGTGTTGAGGTGTATATAAATTTTCATAAAGGATTTGTGGTATACTCTTGTTTTACATATAACAATAATTATATCTATTTGCATATCATGCCATATCTGCAACATAATTGTTGAAACATACTCATATACATACATATAAGTTGCATACATATATGCAAGTGCAATATTTTTTACGTATAAATGCGTTTTTATTAATAATTATTGTTATATTGTACATAACTCATTAATTATGCAAGCACTTAAACTTTTCAAGTACCTAATCTTTAAACATATGAGAAGTGAATTTATATCGAGTTAAAATATTTATTAATATTGGGAGACTCGTATAATTTGAAATTGTATCTGTTCGAGAAAACTGCAAGGTGTCAATTTTACAAATTTTTTTAGAAGAGCATAGAATTTTATATATTATTCCATCCAATATTATATTATATTATATTACGAGTGCTAACACAAGGTTGCCTTGGCAACAGCGAAAAACTGTTATCTCATATTAGAGAACTTTCCTATAAATATGAGATTTTGTACAGTCGCACGATTGTGCCATTCAAATATTCTGGGATTATGAATAAGTTTATTTAAGTTCATAGCAATTATGAAAGCCATCTATCTTTTCGGATAAGTGTGCAAATGCGCTAAACACATCTGAGATTTTGGTTTTGTAAGCCTTGCAATTGATAGTGGTTTGGAAAAGTATTTAAATGATGATATATGTAATATAATAAGGAAAAGTTCGTGTAAGCAATGGATAGCTAAAGAGATTATACAGTGAAAAGTACGATTTACATATCGTTTTTTAGTACAATTCATGAAAACTATCGGTTTTCGATATATGTGCCACGCTAAAAATATGTATATAATTTTAATTTTGTATATAATTGTTAATGTTTTTGTTGATTTAACAAGTTTTGTTTAAAATAGTTATAAGTTCGTTTACTTCGATAACTTCTAACATATTTACATTGTTATTGAAAATAAAATAAAATCCTTTAATGACGTTATTATTAGGAAGAAATAATAAAATTGTAAAATTAAAAATTTGTGCTAAAATGTTAAAGTTTTAAAAATAGTTTTAATATCTTTATTAACCATATGTCAATATAGACGTATTTATTAGATAAGTATTTGAGATAAGATAAATATATAGTAAACTGTACGAAAAAGATGTATTCTCATTTAAATACTATATATGATAAATACTAATATTACGATATGGGAAGAAAAGGGACTTTTGTAATAATATTTTTGAGGATTTTGAACATTTTATGAAATGTGAAGTTTAAAGTTATGATTATATATGTACAATATATATATTACAATACTAATTTTATACAAACATCAATGCAGCTTGTTACATTTTAGCTAATATATGAAATAATACATTAAAATCTGAGGAATGTGGTTGTGCGTTTCCATGATAGAGTATGAAATAATAACGTTATATAACGTGATATGAAGTGTCATTAATTATTGACTGTCTAACAAATATAGTTTTTATTACTGCAAAGAATCGTACTTGCAATTGGGAACGTTCACTGCGATTTCATTGCGTGATATCAATTATGAAAAGTTCAATATCGTAACGTAATGATAAATAGATATAAACATATGTTACTTGGTAATACAGTTTATTTTTTTCTGTTATAATTTAATGGTTAGAAAACATGTTGATATTTGAGAACAAAAACGTAATGCCGGTTTATCTTAAGTTTGTTGTACTCGTATACCTCATACAAATGTTGAAGTCAATGAAATGGCAGAATAAATATTTCTTGATGCCAGTTCTTATTATTTTTTGTCTCCCTGAATTAACCGATTGATTCGTCAAAGAAAAAGTTCACAGATTGTAAAACATATGTTTCAAATTTATTGTAAGAATTCGTTCACCTATTCGTCAATGAATTGCTTTTTGCCAAAATATTGACCGTGTACAATCACATATTACGTTTGCTTCTTCTCAAGCTTCTTTTTCTTCTTCTTCATCTCTATTTTCTCTTGTCTAAGCTTCCGCTTTTCTTCTTGACGTTGTTCTCGTTCTTTTGCACGGCTATACAGTCTGCGCGAAACAATAACTGCGAAAACAAGATCATTATTAGATTATTGCAAAAAGTAAAAATGTCAGGAAAATGATTGTTTAATATATAAAAATTGTTATTACAGAAAAATCCTTGATTGTTCAGGAGCGCCATATATATGGATATATAAATTATGTAATTACGCAATCATCTGTTCGAGTTTGCTATTGGTACATTATCGCCCGTAACAAATTCTTTCGTTAACATTGTACTTTTACTATGTATAAGTTCAAGTATTACGCAATGCAAGAAGTGTCATACCGAGTAGAAATGCCACAATCGATACCGCAAAAATGAATAAAATGTAAGACTGGTATGGTGCGAGCCACGTGGGCAGAATCGTGTTCTTGGGTAACTTTTGCAGAGTCTTTGTTAACACGTCAAAGGCTCCCTGCTGGAACTGCTCTTTTTCCTCATCGCTCATCTGTTGATATCTTTCAATTACTTTGGCCAATTTTTCTTGCACATCATCCGGTACACTGTCATCCTCCAACGGATTCAAAAACTGTTCTTCCATATTGAGTGACAACGAACGAACACGAGAATTTGATTCGGAGATCACCAGAAACAGAGGTCCGCGCGAGTGCAGGGCAAAAGTTGTACTGATTGGATACGGAGGATCAGATTCAGTAATCGAGTGGACTCGATTAGATAAGGAAGGTTGAAAATACGCTGAGATATGATGCAAGTTTCTTCGACGAAGCGATTTCACTCAATCGACTTCATAAACTTCGATTGTGCACACTCGGCGAAAAGGAAATATTTTTGCCTCGCGAATTTACAAATGTGAAACGATATTTTTAATCTTTGTAGGCTCGGCAGGACAGAAATCGTCAGACTAATTAATGTTAAGCGTTAACCAATCCGTATAAAGACGGCCTATCAAGGACATGCGAATTAACCGTTCATTCAATATTTGTCGAACGGGCGTGCAAACATAAGTCTGCAGAAATTATACCGTTTTTTTTACATGTGGGATTATATTTCGCGAACTGAATAAATGATCTCCTCGGCGCCACAATTGTGGTGGTTGAGAAACTGAACAAACAGCAGGTTTGCTGTGAACGAGCGATCACGTTACTTTGGAAAATTATTCATTCTCTTAACTGAATCTAACAATTATAGTAATATATCATAGTCGTTTATTACATAACATTTGAAAATAAAATTAATCGCAAAAACAATAGAAATGATAATAAATAATAATAAAAATGTAATATATTGTGTTTGCTAATTGTAAGCTTGTTTTGTGTAAGATAATAATATCATACATTCATAGTTTGTCAACGTTTTTAATTTTGTATTACTATTAATATTAGTATAACAATAAAAGTAAAATAAAGAAGATTTTTATGGCTAATAATGCGATGTTTTATCTTAAATAACTAATAATGATTAGTCTTAAATAATTAGTCATTCTTAGTCTTCAATCAGAAATTTAGAATTTACTTTTTTCCTTATTAGAATATTCGTGCTTTTTGCAAACTTCCAAACATGTCAATAATTTCGCATAATCTACTCGTTAATGCCCGCAAACGATATAGACAACTTTCAAAACATAAGATTTGCTCGAGCGTATTTATCTCTTCGACGATAAAACCACTAAAGTGCGTCGTCTTACTGTCTCAATAAAAATGACTAGGTATTCAAAATCAAAAAGAAATATTTGAGAATATTTGCTTTTAACTTAAAAATGGAAGTATCAGTCTTCTTCACGCGGAACTAAGGAAAAAAGTTGGAAAATGTTTTGTAAGATATTTTAGAAGATGGGCGGATGAATATTTCATTACTGTAGTATACGTTAACATTGTACAAACGTGTAGTAAAAATCTCAGCAATAACATCACAATGAATTGTCGTTCTATTGAAGTAGAGTCGAAAGATAATATACTTTCTTTTGAGGTACAATTTAATGTATGCAAATTTTACATATAAAATAAAACCCGGTTGGCTTTAAGTATAGCCAACAAAAAAATATAGGTGACAATATTTAAAATGTAACAAAAAGAATGTAGATAATTGCAGTAACATAGTGATATATATTTAACGTAAATTATTACATAAAGAAATTATATTAATGTACAACATAATTTTTTCGTATAAATATACATCAACCATGTTTTAGTTATAATATATTCATCTTAGAGAGATGTTTTGTTCAATATTTCTTCAACGCGCGTTCTTTAACAGACTGGAAATATTAATAATTATAAATGTTTTGAAAATGTAACAATTAGTTAAATTTTCCAAAACGTTTATAATTATTAATATGTTCTATCTGTTAAAGAACGGGCGTTGAAGAAATATTGAACAAAACATCTCTCTAAGATGAATATATTATAACTAAAACATGGTTGATGTTTCAAATATATTAACAAGTATCAAGAAAATTAACAATTAGTTAAATTTCCAAAACATTTATAATTATAAGTATTTACTAGTATATAATATTTACTAGTATATAAGCAACTACAAACAAATCGTTTAGTTTCTATGTATCCGAGGAAGATGAAGATGTTATTATGACTGCGTCTTGTCTGCTTTTCTTTTGTCTGCGACAAAATTCACGAAAAGGTATTCGTTTACCATCTTGGCCATCAGTTTCGAATTCTTTGTCTGTTTCCTCGATAGCATATACATCATCATTTTGTTCCCGTAATTTTCTCGTGTTTCTTTTGCTAGTCTTTATTATGCGTTTACCATATTCTCTTTTCATTATAAATTTTTTTGAACTTTTGTCCCAATATCCACTATCGCATACCATCCCTGGAGGAATCGGAGGACTTTCCATCTTCCTAGAAATCTTAGGAAGTTTTCGCATAAAATCCACTTTCATCGGAGAAGACGAAGTTTTCTGAGATGTCTTTCTGGAATATGTTTTGACAAATTTCTTCTGGCGCAAAGTTGGAAAGTTTTCAGGATGTTCTTTCGGACCTTCTTCTGGTTTCCGTAATGGACCATGTGATTTCGCCTTGTTTACATCTAAAACAAACATTTTTTAAAATATAATATAAAGAGAAAAGTCCCCTATTGTGGAATAGGCTCCTACTATGAGATAGCGGAGTTTCTGCTAAATTAATAGGCATCATCTGTTGTTTCACCATGAATTTATTTCCCTTACAATTAGACAGAAATCTGTTTACTGGAAAATTGATTGTTAAATCGTGTAATTGTTGCGAAAAAAGATTTGCGATTGAATGTAAACGTTAGAAATCTACTATCTCATAATATTCCTATCTCATAATAGTCTTTTCTCTAGATATAAAATATATTTATAACAATATAAGTATGTTATATAGAAGAGATAAGAAGTGGCGATCGTGACGCAGAGGATTGTGCGCTGGTCTGGTAATCCGAAGACCTGGGTACCTGTGTACAAAACCAAACAAAACATTGTTGGTTTTTCGTTCGATCGCCACATAGAGAAGTGGATATAGAGAGAGGTGTTATAAGAGGTTTGGGCACGTTCCTTAAAAAAAACGCCTTGTAACCCTAAGGGGAAACAATAAAATGTACTAGTACTACTAGTACTAGTAAAGAAATAAACTGTACCCGCAATTGATTGTTAAAGAAAAAAATTTTAATAAAATGTATTATGCTGAGCAAAATTTAAATTAGAATTTAAAAAGAATTGGACAGTTATCGATTGCGTAACAGAATCTCGACAATTATTTTCGATAAGAATCATATATACCGAATATTGTTTCATCTTCGTCTAGTTCCTCCAGAGTTCGTACGTCCGACGTTAGTAAATTTACAGAAAGCAAGGTATCTTGCGATATATCATTCACTTTTGAATTTGAACGCCGTCTTTTTCGAGGGACATCTCTAATCGGTGATTCGTGCGTGAATAAAATTTCTTTGTACGCGCTCGGTATATCTCGAATTGTTTCCGGTAGATCCTCAAATAGTTTGATGCGCTCGTCGTCGTTCAGGATGGTTTCCTGCGAATGCATTGAATTTTCCCATTCGGTTTCCCAATCGCTATCCGTGTCTGTTAATAGTTGCTTCCTTTTGACGGCTTTTTTCTCACCCTTTAAGTTTTTCTTTTGCTTTTCTGTCATATAAAAAATATATTAGTTTTAAGGTTTTTGAATATTTTGTAATTTAATATTTTAATATTAAAATTTTAATATTTTAATACAACACTTGGAAACCTAAATCTTATATTTTTTTTACTAATTTTAATTGATATAAACCTTTCAAAGGTTTGTCGATTAATTCTTTCTGTGCAACTTCCCAGTCGCTATCAGAGCTTTCCTTTTTTCCTTTCGTGTCTTCTCTTTTCTTTTTCCTCGTGTATCCTATGCGCTTCTTTGCCAGATCTAGAATAGATTAATTTAACGAGATGTATTATATTTTAATTTTATTTATCTTAAACCTATAGCGATTTGGATTTATCTTTTAAAAACGTTTCTATAATTTCGATTAACATAACAGACATAAACTTAATATTTTTAATTAGAGGAGAGTCCTGCCACACGTATCCCTGTCCTCCGAAAAAGGGGTTGGCTAACAACCCCTCACCGTAAAAACTTACTATTGCGAATACACAAATGAGCCTCGGATGGAGGCAATTTGTTGCGAAGGCCAGGGCCCACTTGGGGCTGTAGAGTCGGTTATGAAGATAATAATTCCTTACCTTGCATCTGCAACTGTAAATTTCTTCTGCCTCCGCTTGAAGAAGAAGCTGTATCGATCTCTGATAAGGATATGCTGTTCCATTTTACGGGTACAGATTTTGGTGTGCTTGTGTATGTATTTGCTGTAGCTATAGTGAAACGTTTATGGCTGTTATTTCGACCAAGTTTATTAATCGCTTGTGACATATTGCTGCTCACTGAACGCGTAATCAATCTGTTGAAGCACTTGAAATCGTTTCACAATTAATATTTTCTACGACGAGACTACGATATTCGCGTTCGCCCGAGGATCCAGTAGCGTTTAAGTATTATGCACGACAAGTCGATGAACAGTTGCTTTCAACCTTTGCTCTCAAGGTTTGTGTGCAAACAGTGTCCGTAATGCGGACTATATGAGAAATAAACATTGGGATCGTCATCGAATCGTACCGGGACAACACGCATGTGTAAAAGTTATCTCAATAACGTATTTCGTACTTGTCTGTTAAGTTTTCTTTGGAATATGCATAGATATTTACATTATCAATTAAAATATATGTAAGTGATGGCTAATTTAAGTATAATAGCCTATAAAATTATTTACTGCCAGCTAATTTAATGCAAATTAAGTCATAAGACATCTTGAAAATATCATAATGACATTTTCCTGACAGTTTTGTAAAAATATAAAACATTTTTAAGACGTAATGTTTTCTGCATTTGACAGGGATGGAACGTGGAAATGAGGAAACTTTTTATTTTGTTCGAAAATGTGTTATTAAAAATTTCTTACGAAACATTCGCTCAGTCGATAAAATATTCATGTATTTGCTAAAATATTCCCTAGTAGCACAGTGCGTTGGCTAAACATTGGCTAAACGTTGGCCCAATGTTGGTTATATTAGAAATATTACATTAGATTTTTTACACGTAATATTTCATGTAACGTAGCAAACTTCAACACTTTCAATTTAATTAGTCTTATTTTGCACGTATTAATGTAAAGGATAAACTGTAAAAATTCGAAACAATTCTCACATAAATGATTTTACGAAATAACTAAACCGTAAGAACGACGCACACGACAAGCCTTCACGTTGGCGACACTGCTGTTTGAGTTAATCGCCGATTAAAGTTAATCGGAGTTGGTTAAAGTGGCCCTAAGCGTATTGAAAAACGCTTCGAATAATGGAGCAATCGCCGCGCATCGACCATTCGAATTTCGCGCTTCGACTCGCAGGCGCGCGATTGAACGCTCGATCGAGATATATCGAATACTCGAGAGGCTCGAGAGTCCCTCGCCGACTCGCACTGTCGCGACGTCCGCTCGCCGTTCAAGTTAAGGTTATGTTTATGTCTCCGTCGCCGGCAAGAAGGTTGGGTACGAGTGGCATGTACGAGCGGGACGAAGGATGAACAAGCTGCTGTCCGTCCCGATCAAAGAAGTCAGCCAGAAGATCCGTGGCAGCGCGGTGCGGCCGTCCGAGATCTGCAAGGCCTCCGTCAAGCTGACTTCCGTCGTGAAGCCTCTGAACGCGTACATCACCGTGACGAGCGATGTCGCGGAGGAGCAGGCGCGCGCCGCCGACGAGAGGCAACGCAGGAGTTCACTGCTGGGACAGCTCGACGGGATCCCCGTCGCCGTCAAGGACAACTATTGCGTCAAGGGTGAACCGACGACCTGCGCTTCGCGGATGTTGGCCAACTTCACGCCAGGCTACAGCGCCACGGTCTACGAGAGGCTGAGGTCGCGCGGGGCCGTACTGATCGGCAAGACGAATCTCGACGAGTTCGCCATGGGCTCCGGCACCGTGGACTCGCTTTACGGGCCGACCAAGAACCTGTGGGGCTCGGAGGTGTTGTCCGAGTTTTATTCGCACGGGCCCGACAGTCCGCGGGTCACCGCGAGGAGTGGGAAAGACGCCTGGCGCATAGCAGGTACGTTGCCGCGGAAACTTTTCAACTGTTGCCTAGCGCACCTCTTTTTCTTTTTGTCCATTTAGTTAGCTCACTTTGAGGGATACGTCAAGCCCGGTCTGTAACGAGTTGTTAGAACTAGATGTCCTTTTTCTCTCCGGGCGATCGACGTATACTTAGTTCCGAAACAACTAGTCGTAGACTGGCGATAAATTTTTGGGATGTAACGAATGCGTCTTAGGTGGCAGTAGTGGAGGCTCGGCGGTCGCAGTCGCCACAGGTACCTGTTACGCGGCCTTGGGCTCCGACACTGGCGGCTCCACTCGCAATCCCGCGTCCTACTGCGGCCTGGTCGGCCTGAAGCCGACTTACGGTCTGGTGTCGCGCCACGGTCTTATTCCTCTACTTAATTCGATGGACGTGCCTGGTATTCTCGCGAGGACGGTAGACGACGCCGCGTTGATTTTGAACGCCGTAGCTGGCCCCGACGAAGCAGATCCCACCACCGTACGGAGGGAGTACGAACCGATCAACCTGCCCGAAACGATAGACATTAGCAATCTCAGGGTCGGGATACCCAAGGAGTACGGGGTGCGAGGCATAAGCGAGGAGGTCGAGGGATGTTGGGCGAAGGTGTCGCGCCTTCTGGAAGAGGCGGGGGCCAGTGTCGTCCCAGTGTCGTTACCGCACACCGACTACTCCATAGTATGTTACTCCGTTTTAAATCGATGCGACGTGGCCAGCAACCTGGCCTGTTACGACGGCGTGGAATACGGCCACAGGGCCGACGAGTGGAGCTCGGCGCACGAGCTGTACAAGCGGACCCGCTCGGAGGGCTTCAACGACGTGGTGAAGGGTCGCATACTGGTCGGCAATTACTTTCTCCTGGCGGAAAATTACGAGAGGTATTACGTCAAGGCGATGAGGATGCGTAGATTGATCGCGCGGGACTTTGACGCTCTGTGGAACGGCAATGTGGATCTCCTGCTGACTCCGACCACGTTGACCGAGGCACCGCGCTACGACCAATTCGTGCGGCTGGACAATCAGACGCAGTGCCTGATCCAGGATCACTGCACGCAGCCCGCGAACATGGCCGGTCTGCCCGCGATCAACGTGCCGATCGAGCTATCTCGCGGAGGGCTGCCCTTGTCCTTGCAGCTGATGGCGCCGCTCTTCCACGAACAGAGGCTGCTCGCCGTGGCAAAGTGGATCGAGCGGACGGTGCGATTTCCGAGACTCCAACTGACGAACTCGTGCTCGCTCGAATAAAATTACTTTCTGACGACCACTGGTGTGCCTCCTTCGTTTCAGATTATTAATCCTCAAAGTCTTTCCAGCTTGCGACGTCGTACGTTTCACGTTAGTTGCGATCGATCTGCCGCGACTGTATAAGAATTGCTGACTTTTACAACCGCATCTCGTGTGTCCCTTTCGAGTATTACATTTGGGATTAGAAAATTAGTACGTCGGTCTTGTCGCGTAACCCCGGGGCAACGCAAACAAATTACACTCCCGGCGCGCCATCGAGCGTATCTGAAATTCTATTCGTCGAGTAATGGCGTTTGCTTTCGCAGCCAAACGACCCTCGTCTCGTTTCACCGCGGCCGTAACGTTCGTTGTGTGTTATACAAAGACGAAACAGTGGCCCTCCTCGCCATAAGACTAATTCCTCGCTGAAAGGGAACGAGCTTCCTCCGGTAAGCAAATGTTATTGAAAAGAGCAGCTTTTTATTGAACTATACGTTTTCAAGCGCATCCGCCTAGCCTCGCCCACGTCGAATCCTCGCGCATTTCGTATTTACTTTCCATCTCGGCTTCGCTTTTCCGATACGTATATCCTCATTTTCACTGCGCGTCGTCGCGAGCTCGGCGCGACGAAACTCTGACGTTTCGAAATTCATTGTCTCCCGAGGATCCGAGGGCGATTTGAGCGGAGAACAAACAACTGACAATACGCGGGTGCAAAATCTATTCACGCAGCGCCATTGATAATTAAATCGCCGTGACATTTTAGTCCGATCTATTGTTCGCATCAGATTAAGAAGCCAGCAGAGAAATGAGGCAATTCAATATGCATGAAGACGATTGTGTTTTATTGTTTCGCAGCTCGTTACGACTATGTACAAATTTGCATGACTGTAAAAAAATTGCAACTGTACAATGAGTTCAGAGTCAATTCGGAGTTAAATTGGCCCGACGCGAGTATAATATTTTCTCGCCTCGAAATAAATCCAGCCTTCGCCTTTTTAAACGTCATTTACATTAAGGTGTTCGATCTAAAGTTGAGTGAACGAGAAGACATTCCACATCCACGCACTGAATGTTAAATGGTATTCATACATTCGTATCGTCTCTTCTCTCTTTACAATTCGGCGCGCTATCGGTCTACGAACTTTAAGGAAATCGCTCAAAGAACAGAAATAATATATTCCGTCTGTATATATCATTTCGTTCTCCCGTAATAGCGGCGCAAGTGCTGCGGAAACGTGCATATTCGGACGTTTTCATTTAGCCGCAGCGCCGTCTGATTTTGCATTCCCTTTTCTTGCCGCATTACGTTCTTATCGCTGCATAAAACTCGATTTCGACCACTACGAAACCACGAGAAATTGGACGATTATGCGTTTCGTCAAAGGGAAAGCGAGCGCTAATCTGTTCGTTACTCATCGCGGCGCCACGCACTGTCACGTTAAATAAAAAAGGAAAAAAATGTGGAAATTTCTCGTTCGGAGAATAAAATGTATAGTTTTGTACGGCGAATTCCTGTTGTTTCCCAATCCGCCTGCTCTCTCGTGGATAAAATGAACGCGTTTAATGGCTGCTAATGTGCTCGAATATGCGCGCCGAATATAGGTTGCCTCGTGACAAAGCTGTGTAATTAATGGCAGAGGAAATAATGTATCTAAGTACCGTGTCCGATATCGAGTAAGCCACGCTCGTATTACATGCTTTAATCCGGGCTCATAAAGCTTTGCGGCGGCCATCGGCGAGAACGCGCTGCGCCGCGCTTTAGAACATGAAACGCGCGCTTGGCAATCATTCTCCCTTGAGATTAAAAAATATAAAGCCTTTGTGATCGATGCAATCCTCGACTTCGGCCCCGGTTCCTTCGTACGTTGTTTCGTTATCTCGATCGGAGCGCGCCGTAAATCTTTCACTAATATTTTCCGCGCGAAAACGCGATTGTCGGCTATTTTACGCGTTCGTTATTCGTATTTGCGCGGTTTTATGCGCAGCAACAATGCTGGGAGAGAAAAGGGATGTGATTACGCGAGAGGGAGAATTGTTAGAACTTTTTTTTACCGGCCTCTTCTTTTTCTCGCGCAATTAATGTCGCGACACCCTTGGGGAAAGTTTACTTTAAATGAAATTGAAGTTTGTAAAAGTAATCCTTCAAATCTAAGAGTTTACTTAAGAAATTTTTGAATAATTTTAGACGCCTGAAGTAATTTTGGTGATACATTTTTACGACTCGATTAATCTCGCGAAGAAAGGAGACCATCAGAGAGGCTGTGCTTCTAAAAAACGCAGTTCTTTCTTCATACGTCAAGGCGTAGTCCAATTGCGAATTGTATAGTTTTGAAGAAAGTGAAGACAAGATTAAAAGGGAAAAAATGAGGTGCATATTTGATTCTAATTTTCGCGACCTCGAGCGCGATGCGCAGTCGATTACTGGCGATTCGCCGTGTTACAGCCAATTAACATCTGCTTGTCCAGGCGCAAATTACGATGCGCGGTTAATGGAAGCTGGATTTCGGGAGCTCGCGCGCGATCTTCCGATTTACGGCCAGTTGAAATCGAATTCCGCGGTCATATAGTAATAGAGTATACATTCGCCCTTTCATATCGGGTCTTCGTACGATAAGCCAGCATTTCCCAATCGCGAATTGTAACACGAGAGTTTTGAGTCAATATTGACAAATAGAATCCGTTCCTCGTTTCTCATAATTATCTATTCCGCAATTGAAGTCAAATTTAAATGGTTTTAGAATCTTTTCTTATTTTCGTGCGCTGCTGTAATTTGAGTGGCGAGCGATGAACGAAATTTTAAAGAAATCTTTGAGAATATCTGACGACAATTAGTGCGAACAGTACAGTAATTACAGCTCAGCGAGCTCTGAAGAGAACGTGCTGCGAGAATAACAGGGTCGACTGTAGTGTATTTTGCGAAACCATTTTGCGCAACTCTATAGCGCACGTACGACTAAATGTACATATATATTTCCGGAAAACGGTGAGAAATCCTCGGAAATATTGGGTTGATGCATAAGTTCGTCCCGTTTTTAAACCAAAAATTTCATACCTATTATATTTTGTCGATACACATTTAATCAGTGATATATGCAATCTCACGAGTTGTTTTATGACGATCAGTTTCAATCAAGGCTAAAATTTCGTGACTGTCAATTTCGGAAGGTCGTCCAGAACGTTTCTCATCCGTGAGATTAAAATTTCTATTACGGAATCGTTGGAACCATTTGTGAACGGTGCAATCATGAATAGCATCTTCTCCGTAGACAGAACATATTTTTCTTGTGGTCTTGCAGGTTTGCCTTTTCGAAAATAAAAGTCTAATAATATGCCGAAAATAATGCTTATTTTTATTCATTTTTATAAATTTACACGACTCACAAACGTCAATCGACGGCAACTAATTTGACAGTAAAGTTTCCGTTCAATTGCTACTTTTTCTTTTGGTCTGAACAGCAGTTTTGCCTCTTCGTAAATAAAAAATCTAATAATATGCCGAGAGTGATGCTTATTTTTATCCATCTTTATAAATTTACACGACTCGCAGACGGCAATAGACGACGACAAATTTGACAGTAGTTTCCGTTCAATTGCTACTTTCAAATGTCTAAGACATTATATAGTGCGAAGTTGACAGCAGATCGAATTCGCATATAAAGTGCGCGAATGCTTAAAAACGGAACAAACTTATGCAGCAACCCAATACATCGGGACAATTGTAACAACAAGGAGGTGGCAAAACCGAGACGTCTATGGGCAGCTTGCGAATAAGTTTTTAGGCAAAAGCCACCGAGGTAATTTTACAGTGCGTTTCGCGGTCCGTGGCGACCCTTTAGCGCACATACGATCGAATTTACAGATGATATAATTTCGGGAAACTGAGAAATCCTCGGAAATACATGGGGACAACTGTAACAACATGGAGGTGGCAAAACGAGACAGCTATTGGCAGCTTGCGAACAAGTGTGTATAGACAAACGCCACCGAGGTAATTTTACAGTGCATTTTGCGGTCCGTGGCAAACCCTTTAGCGCACATACGACCGACGTTACAGATGATATATTTTCGGGAAACGGTGAGAAGTCCTCGGAAATACATGTGGACAATTGTAACAACAAGGGGGTGGCAAAACGAGACAGCTATTGGCAGCTCGTCTACAGTCCGTGGCGACCCTTTAGCGCACGTACAATTGAATTTCCAGGTGATATATTTTCGGGAAAATGGTGAGAAATCCTCGGGAACGTAATACGTTTGGACAATTGTAACGAACAAGGAGGCGGTAGGAGGGGACGAACCGAGGCAATTGGCGAGTCGGATTTTTATCCGCGCGGGGTGACTTAGCCGGGGTAATTTTATAATACACGATATCGTCGTCGTCGCACTGTCGTCGAAGCTCGCTCTCGTCTTCGCGGCGCGGGAACACCGGTGGGAGACGACGAGTAACGCGGAACGAGAACGGAGGGAAATAGACATAGGCTATGCGCGCGAGAGGGTGGCCGTCTCTGGGAAAACAGGGTTGGGCACGGGGTGGCGAGGACGCATGCGTCGGAGCCCGGCCGTCGGGGGCTGTCGTGTCGCTCTCTGTCGTCGGGTACGCCAGTCGTCGTGACGACTTCGTGCCGTCGTCGTCGAGAACGCCGTGTTTTCAAACCGGCCGCCGCGCGCCCACGCACCGTCGCCGAACTTCCTCTCTTTCTCTTTCTATCTTTCTCCCGCATTCTCTCTCTCTCTATCTCTCGCTTTCTCTCTCTCTCTTTCTGTCGAATCCCCTTTCTCCCCGCCACATCCGTCGCCGCTTTCGGTCGTCCGCGCGCGCGAGTGCGGGAATGTCGCGGCGCGCTTCAAATCGCCGGCGAGTTCGCGCCGCGGGTGTCGTCGGCCGCGACCGCCGTCGCGGATGAGCGGTTTTCCCGCCGCGTGTGTGCCCGGCAACGGCCGATGGGGGATCGTGCGCGGGTGGTGATCCCGCGTGGTGCCGCGACGGAGTGACGCGCGGGTACGCGCCGAAAATCGGCGTCGGCCGCGGACTTTGGGGGG